AATAACTTTGCCAAGTTATAAACAATCAAAAAATGGATGTCTCATTCTTCTGTAGTGCCACAGTGAGTGGTGCTCACAATAGCAGTAGTTTTTAATACCATTTTTGGTTGAGTGTTTTGGCTGAAAGAAAACTGAGCATATGATATTTCTCTTAAGACCATAATGATAGTGGGCTAACAGCTGTGAATGCTCTTGGTGGTTGGCATATGAGACCTTGGTTTGATTCTTGTCCAGTGAACATACTCTAGGGTCTGCGTTTGCATGGCTTACACCAGGTTTGTAGGTATTTTAATATTCTAGGGAGACAAGCTACATGTTTGGTGGGATACTGGTGGTTAGAGTGGTTAAGAATGAGCAACCAGAAGGAATACAACCAACAAAAACTTTTGCTGGAGAATAAAAATCCAGTTATGTAAAGCTGGGGCAGTATGGGGCAGGTTTTGAGAAGGGAGAGAACTGAAACCTGCTGCCGTTGTGTGTCAGGGTTAAATGTTCCTATTCCAAATGTACGTCACCGACTCGCCAAAGTGGAACCCTGGTACTAATGCGTGCACGGTATATTATAAATTACCCGTGTGCATCTAATCTGTATCCTTTGATAGAAACCAGACCCCAGGGCCTGTGATGGAACCGATGGCTATCGTCAGCATGTAGCACTTAGCACACGCAAACTGCTGCACGAATGTATAGCTAAACATTCTCAGACCTTTGCAAAGTAAGGAAGAACATCCCTTTGGGGGCCTTTGGATGGAATTAGTGTTGAAGCTAGGCCAGTGGTCAGTTAGTTGACCGCAGTGGTCTGTAAAATTGAAGGAACTGTTTCCCAACTCTCCTATTTTACAGATGCTAGTTACTTACTTCATTAATCTATCTTCTTGCAGGCTCCCAACATGTTTTGCAAACACTGAAAATGCTCTTGGGGACTTTTTTTCTTACTTTTTAACTCTTAATTATTTAGTCTTCTTCTTTGAACAGCTTTCCCCTAGATGATGTTTTTCCAGCTTTCTTGCATCTTACTTAATCATGTGTGGATTCAAAGCCGTCAGACAGACTGGAGACATGAAACTTTCTAGTACAGTGAAGAATCTCTTTCTGTACTCGTTTTGCACACTTTGTCAGTTACACTTGTGGCAGAAGGTTGTTCGTGTGTCAGGCCAGACATCTCTCTCAAGAAACATAGAGAGGAGACAGAAAGTAGCTTTTTCTCCAGATCAGTCTCACTGCTGTTGGCAGGAGTCAGATTTCTCTCAGGGTGGTTAATGTTCCTTGAGAAATTATTCACCAATTCCCTTGAAAAATGTCCCAAGATTGCTCCAAGGATTGAAGTCTTCCATCTGCTACTGTGCTCCTTTTCAATCAGGCTTTTCTACAGCTGGTGAGTGGGAAAGTAAGTCCCTGTATTTGGCCAGATGTGATCCTCTGCTGTCATATGTGCACAATACTTGCAAATTCTGCTTTTTTAAAATTTTCTTTTAATGCCCTATAACCTGTCATGTACCATTTGCCCTTACCTCGCAATTAAGTGTTGTATCATCTGTATTCATCCTTCTTCTGACTCCTTTATCCTTGCTGTCTTTCTTTCTTTCATGTACAGTTACTTTCAGCTGTGTTCCCATCTCTATATCCAAGCCTTCCTGCTTCTCTTGTCATAAATTCTTTGCACAGACCCTGGCCATCTGTTCCTTGCCCTTTGCATCCTTGTCCTGTGTTTGGTTTTTTTCAATATCTCGTCTCCTTCTGCTATTCCTTTCCTTATCCTTATCTTTTATTTGTTGTCATGGGAATACCTACTGTGACTTCTAAATAATACACAAAGAGCTGTAGTTTCATTTTATTTTGTAAATTCTTGATTGTGAAGACAGAATTAAAAAAACCCAAACCAACAAGAAATTAAAATCTGTGAGAGAAGAAAGCAAAATCTTGAATAAAATTGTATAAAAATCATCATTGTCTTTAGACAGAGGAAGATCTTCTAATCTTTTAACCTTGTGGCATGGCAACCTGGCATGTTGTGTAGGTCAGAATCTAAGACATTTCTGTGGTTTTCAGTGTTTGTCATTACTATTTCTTTTACACTTAAATGCTGTGGAATATAGAGGACCAAGAAAATAAGAAGATGCCATATTGGGAAACATGCTTCCAAGCTGGAAACCAGCTTTTATGATTTTACTGCAATTCCCTGAGAGCTCCTTCTTTGCTTCCATTTTAGAAAATGCAGAAACATTCCTAAAGAACTTTATGAATATAACAAAACAGAGAAAGCAACACCTTTATGGCTTCTCTTGCAGAAAGCATTGGCTTACTCTGCGTGCTTGAGGTATACAGGCCTAGATAAGCTCCTTGGCTTCTCTGCTTCCTCTGTGAGTTTTATTCCAGAAAAATTCTTTGTTCAGAGATACTGAAAAATGTGTGCTTTGGTGTTTGTGTTCCCTGGGCTTCATGAACTGCAAACTGCACATGAGTACTTGTCCTTTTCTGAAATGTATACTTCTATTTAGTACGTCATAATGTGTGGACTGACACACTTAATTTTTTAAGAATTTTGTGGAAAGCCCAGAAAGAGTACTGTTTTAACTACGCACCAAAATTAAGATGTTGGTGTACTTCAAGCCACATACTGAAAACCTATGCTGCCTCTGTGGTTACTTGCACTGAAAGCAATGAGTAAATAGGTAGACATGTTTTTCCACAAATTATATATGCCTTATCATTAGTGTCATTTCTATATAAATTGAAGAAAAACTAAAATATTCTTTTTGAAAGGAGACCTTCTTGTCTGTATGTATGCTCACACATGCATGAACACAGACTTATCCGAAAAGAGTAATTAATTTTAAAAAATTGATCTATAAAAGAACCCCTAAACCCAGTGAGCTGGAGTTGGTCTGAGTCCTAATCTATATGGACCACCAGTACAAAGATTGTCTTTACTGTAACGACTGATCTCTAAGACTTGGTAGTAAGCTCTACCTGATATGTGTTGTGCATTTACATTTAATATGGATTTCTGAAAATACAGACTGAACATGAGTTTAAATAGGAATTGAGAAATGATTATAATTCCAAACCAGTTCTGTTTGTATTGTATGAATGTGGTCTTAGTGCTTCAGCTGCACAAGAGTATAAATGATACGGTTAAGTATCACCACGCATCAAAAGAAGTGTGGCCAGCAGGTCAAGGGAGATGATTCTGCCCCCCCTGCTCTGCTCTCATGAGACCCCACCTGCAGTGCTGCATTCAGCTCTGGGGCCTTCTACATATGAAGGACACGGAGCTGTTGAAATGAGTCCAGAGGAGGGCCATGAAGATGATTCGAGGGCTGGAGCACCTCTCCTATGAAGACAGGCTGAGATAGTTGGGGCTGTTCAGCTTGGAGAAGAGAAGAGGCTTTGGGGAGATTGTCTAGCAGCCTTCCAATACCTAAAGGGGGCCTGCAGGAAAGCTGGAGAGGGACTTTCCACAAGGGCGTGTAGTGATAGGACAAGGGGCAATGGCTTTAAACTGAAAGAGGAGAGATTTACATTAGATATAAGGAAGAAATTTTTTTTTACAATGAGGTTGATGAGGCACTGGAACAGGTTGCCCGGAGAAGTTGTGGATGCCCCATCCCTGGAAGTGTTCAAGGCCAGGCTGGATGAGGCTTTGAGCAAATTGGTGTAGTGAAAGGTGTCCCTGCCCATGGCAGGGAGATTGGAACTAGATGATCTTTAAGGTCCCTTCTAACCCAAACCATTCCAGTGTTCTATGATTCTAAGTTATTAGAATCTAGATTCTAGATAGGGATTGCAAGAAATGTTTAGAAATGCTTTTTCATTCACTGGAATCCTCAGTGAGAAAAGGAATGTAGAAGCGGAGGCTTTTTGTGAGTGTTTTTTGGGGAACACAGAATGACACTTGGTCTCCAACAGTCACCTTCATTGTCTTCACGCTTAGTCCGATATACTAGTTCTCTACCTGACTGGTGCTCAGAACATCTTAAAGCTAAACCAGAGTGAGTACTTACAAAGCATATTATTGTTTCTTTTTTATTTTTCTTCTTTTGTGTTGGTTTCAAATGCAGTAACTAGTTTCCAAAGTATATTTTGTTAGATTTTTTTTTTACATTCTCATTCATCTCATTTAATATTTCAAGGTGTTTTGGCTAATGCTGAGTATTGTGTCCCTGTGGGGCAAATCATACATCCTGTGCAGTTTAAGAATTTCCAAAGCATCTCTGGAAAACTTCCAACTAAACTGCAAGGGTCTGGTTCAAGATGGGTGGCAGGTTAATGGAGAGAGATCTCTCTTTACAAACGATTCCTCCTGGAGTAACAGGAAAATGCAGGGAGCATTCACATCAGCTCTGTGAGGTGCGACTTCTGTAAGATTCCTCTGCCTCAGGCCTGAAGGAAGAGAACTCTGAAGTCTCCTGGTGTGAGTGCAGCACAGAAAAAGGGGGCCATGGCTTTACATGCCTTTGAGCTATAGAGGCTTTTATTCACCAGTATGCAAAAGGGATTGGGGCCATGCCAATGGTGTATGAGACTTTGAGAAGACTGGTATCAGCAGCTGAGCAGGTGGATCTGCTACAGCTTTTGTCACTGCTTCCATTGAATAAGGAGAGCTGGAAAAGGACCAAAGGAAATCATCTAATCCAAAGCCTTCATGTAATGGAGTCCTTTGCATAGAGATGCCAGATTATGGTATGAAATAGGATTTTGATCCCATGCTGAACATGCAGTACATAACAAGATTATCTGCCATGGGAGTGAAAATCTCTTAGACTTTAAGTTGCTTCCTGTAATTCTTTTCTGTGGTTCAGAATCTCAAACTTAAGTGCTTTTGTATTTATTTTGTGTTCATTTTTGTTGCACAAGTTATAAATACTTATAAATCTGTATACTTTAAAGTGTATACTCATCTGTTTCTTTAAATATATTTCTATGTATACACGTTTTATAGGTATGTTTAATATATGTTACGGAAATAGGTTGATTTTGTTCTTTGTTTCCTTTATCAGTTTGCTGAAAGCAGTCAGAAAAAAGAGGCTTTACAAAAAAGCATTGAGAAATCAAAAGTTGGACGTGAAGATACTGTAAGTTGCTTTGGGAGGGAGGTATTCCTACCAGGAAATAGGGCTACAAGTATGCCAGTTTCTAAATACTAATGTAGTCATTGGAAATCCATTAAGAATTCTAAATAGTGGAGATGAGAAAGAGACAGAAAAAACCCAGATATTAGATTACTCCTTAGTTGGTCATGCACTAATGAGTAAAATATTGACAACTGGCTGCTCCAAGGCTGAGAAAATGTATGACTGCCTGCAGTCTGGTAATCTTCTCGGGTTTTTCAGATTTAAAGATATCTTAAAACTTGAGCTACCCAGAGGTGTGTACCAAAGTTGCCAATGATTGCTGAACTGCCAAATCTAGTAACTGCAAACCTAGGTGTTGGGGGCCTTATTTTTTTAAAAAAATCTTTTTTATAGTCTGGATTTCTAAATTGCTATTCTGAGCAGCTGTATAAGCTTGGTGCTCTTAGCATGCTGAAGCTGTTAATGTTGCAAAATAGTATTTAGGCTTCGTATTTACCATATGTATGAAGTAGCCTATTAGTTAGAAATACTTCATATCGTATTCTGAATTGCTGATTTGTTTTGAGATGCTCAGTCTAAAGTGGTTTCCACCTCCAGTAAATAAATGCATAAACGGGGACAGCCAAAAGCTTTCAGGTGGAATTGCATTTGATAGGGAAGTGCCAAATCTTAGAATCCAAAATGTTTTTTTAGAAATGCTCTGGGTTTTACTGTAATCAGGAAATCACAGGCAGGTTTCTCACGCAGGTGTGCTTGTCAAGTTTCCAAATGGGCTGTTCGAGACTTAGGCTTCTCCACCTTGTGATCTGCCCTAGTCTCAAGAAGGTATTGGTCCTGGAAATCCTGTTCTGGCTGATGCTTCCAATGTTTTGATTCCGGATGATACATCCGGAAGAAGTCCCAAGAAATCTAGATCCCAATGTAGTTCTCTGAGCAGCTGGCCTCCATACCGCAGCATCTGGAAGCTTTTGATTTCCAGTCTGCATTTTCAGAACGTGCTGAATCCAGACTGTTGGTAAAAGCACTTGGAATATGGAATTTTGAAGAAAAACAAACAATCCAAATCAAAACAAAAATCCCACCTTAAACTGTTGGGCCACTGTGGGGATTGCCATTGGCTAAAACCTGATGGTTTACAAACTCATTCTCTCTGGCTTTTTTAGGCTACCCAGTGCTGCCCTGGCATGAGTTCTTTGAATAACAGCCAGTGACAGTGTTTGACTGTAACTGCAGGTTGAATTAGAAGTATGTGCTGAGTTGGCTATGGGAGAGCTCGTGTTGGGTCAGCGTCTGCAGATTCTTATTGATCAATAGAATATTTGAGGTCAATATTGGATACTCTCCCAGCAAAAACTACCGTGTTGTAAATATTTGACTTTATTCTTGAGACACAGCATCCTGATTTGTGGAAGCATTAATGGTAGGTTTTTCTATAATACTGTCCTTAATTACAAGACTAGCACTCTTACATATCATTTAACTTTTAAGCCCAACAATTAAGAGATCTGTTTGGAGTTTGTCAAACCGCGTCGAGTTCAAAGGTTATAGTCAATTGTTCTTTGGTTTATCCATTTTGACCTTAATTTTTTTTTTTCCTTCCAGGTTGTACTCAATATCATTTAGAGTCACTGAGAGTTTTATGTGTGCATAAAACGCTCAACCAGTTCATTGACAGAAAGCAGTAGTGAAAATAGCTTTTGAATTTACATCTTTTTATTTTTCTAAAAAACGTTCTATGCAATAATTGCTGATTTTTATTTTTGTATTTCTTTGTATCTCCCAATATACTTTGAATCCCCAGGCGGAACGTGCAGCTTTAATAGAGGAACTTGCTGCCCTTCGGCAGAAAAAAGAGCAGCTGAAGGCAGAAATAGACAAATACAGAGAATGTGATCCAGATGTTGTTGAAGAAATGCGTAAGTTATATGTTGTTTAAAGTGAACTTTTGCAGTAAAAGGTCTGCACTTTAGCTTAAAATCTGGTATGCAGAGATAAGACAAAGAATGGCTGCTTTCCTTTTTAAAGCTATAAGCAATACAAGTACACTGACCATTTCTTTTCATGTTCTGTTGTATTATATAAGGGGAGTTGTATTGACATATACTCTGCCAGCAACTGAGCAGTTAACGAACAGTCCTAAAATTGTAATACTTTGATGGGTTAGAATTAGTATCAGGACCATTCTTTCTAGAACAACATTCACCCTGTAACTTCTAAGCATGCTGATCCCTAGAATGTGTGTAGGAAGAGTAGTCTCTAGCTCTCATTTACCTCTAATTCCATGCTGGCAAAATAGTTATCTTTCTACTTTCTTTTTTTGTCTATTTAGAACGTAAGTATTTGATTAGAGACACTTAATTGCCACATATATGTAAGTATGGCAGTACACTGTTGACTTACTGTTTGTACTGTTTCTGACATGCTGGGTTTTGGTTGAAGTTTCTAATTCTAATGGAATAAGAGGAACGATGAGTGACTTTAATACTTAATAAAGAATTAGGCACTGAAATGTACTTAATATTCTGATCCTTAGCTCAAAAAATGAAAAGCATGCATGAAATCTTATTGAATTTTCTCTACTTCAACTTTCATGTTTTATTTATTAGGCTCTTACGTTGCTACCCGAACACCACTGCAGAGTCAGTTGCTGTAATGCCAAAATGCCGTTACAGAGTGATGAGGAACAGGCACAGTCCTTTTTCTGAGAAGATATCTGACTGAATCTTTCTCTTTCTTTATTCTTCTGACAAAGTCCACAGCTTTAGAAATCTGCTGAGAGAAAGCCAGGAACATAAACAGAGTTGGCAGCACACCCCAAAATTGGACAGATAGTATTTATTTTGAGGGGCTGTGACATTTTTTGTCAGCTGCGTTATCTTTCCCCAAGGATGTAACGATATGCCAGGGAATAAGCAAACTCGAGACCTGAGGTTAGTTACTGTGCTGTAAATCCCTCGCTGTGTGCTCTCCTGAGGACAAGTAACGGATACTTTCCAGCTGATTCCAGCTGTAAAAATGAATGAGGTCAGGCAGATAGTGACAGCAGAGGGATTCGTAGTGCCAGGTATTTGAACTGCTGAGACACCCTTATGGTAAGCGTTGCAATGAATGATTTGAGGAGCCTCTCTTTTGAAGGAGTCGCAGGGAGCATGTTCCTAAACACTAGGCACAAGGGAGCAAATCACAGCTTGAATGCTAGGGCAAACTGCATTAGCTGGCAACACAGAGACTAATATCCTGAAAAGAGGGAAAGGGAAAGAAATGTAATTGTTAGTTACTTCAGTCAGGCTTTTTGTGTTTGTTTGTTTTGTTTTGTTAAAGTGTGTGGGAGCTCCACATGAGGTTCTGCAATGGAGGGATGAGCATTTAAGGGAGTTGGTGCTGTTAGCCTTGTTGGGCTACCTGTAGGATTCCCAGGGGAATATGCAGTAGTGTTTTGAAAAGAAATGATCTCTGACTTTCAATTAAAAATTTTCTGCTTTGTTACATGTTTCATCAGTCATTGTTGCACTGGCTGTGCACATTGTTGCTGGCAATGTATAAATGACAATGTGAATTTTGGGGACATAATGTTTTTGTCAAAGCTGAATGGAATTTTACAGGCTTTAAGGTAAAGAGGAAAAAGAAAAAAAAAAAAGAGGTATTTCTTTCATTCCAGAGTGCGGGGAAGTGCAAAGGCAAAACAATATGCAAGAAGTTATGTTTTTTACTGTAAGAAGGTGGCAACTAGGCCCCATGCAGCCACTTGCTCACTCCCCCCCAGTGGGATTGGGGAAGGAATCAAAAGGGTAAAAGTGAGAAAACTCGTCAGTTGAGATAAAGACAGTTTAATAGGGAAAGCAGAAGCTACACAAACAAAGCAAAACAAGAAGTTAATTCACTGCTTCCCATCGGCGGGCAGGTGTTCAGTCATCTCCAGGAAAGCAGGGCTCCATCATGCCTAACAGTGAAAACAAATGCTGTCACTCCAAATGTCCCCCACTTCCTTCCTCTTCCCCCAGCTTTGTATGGTGAGCATGACATCATATGGCATGGAATATCCCGTTGGTCAATTCTGCTCAGCTGTCCCAGCTGTGTCCCTTCCCATCTTCTGGTGCACCCCCAGCCTCCTTGCTGGTGGGGTGGGGTGAGAAGCAGAAAAGATCTTGACTCTGCGTAAGTGCTGCTCAGCAATAATGAAAACCTCCCTGTGCTATCAACACTGTTTCCAGCACAAATCCAAGCCATAGCCCCGTGGTAGCTACTGTGAAGAAAATTAACTCTCTACCAGCCAAAACCAGCACAAAAGGCGAGAAAGAGTCTCAGGCAATGGAAGGTGTTCAACTAGACATGAAAGTTACTGCTGTTATTTCACAGAATAATCTTAAAGTTACTGGTTCACAGATTTGAAAGCATTTTCAAACTGCATGTGAGTGACACAATTTTCTAGCTGTACAAGTTAGATAACATAATCCTTGTGGTTATTTTCAGTTGGATCACCTGAGCAGATTACTAACTCTAAATTACCTTATTTTAATTTTGAGTCAGAAGTCAGAGATCTTTGTTATGTTATATAACTCTTTTTAAGAGTTGGGTTGTTCAATACAATATGTTTTGTAATGGGCAGTTGTCACTTTCTACATTTGGGTTTTCCCTTTTCTTCCTTAATGACTTCAACCTGTAAGGAAATCTTTCTGATGCTCAGTGTAAAATTTCACTCTATTAATTTCCCATCCCATATCATAGGGCTGCCTTGATTTTTGTTGAGGTATTTTAGGAGTCTTATCAAATTGTCATCTGATTTCAGTGGCCTTCAAATTTGGTGAATGCTTTGCTATGCCTTTTTAATTGC